CAAAACAAGGAATAGGGTGGGCACGGTGGCTCATGCCTATAATCCCAGCACTTTGGGAGGCTGAGTCAGGCAGGTCACCTGAGGTCGGGAGTTTGAGACCAGCCTGACCAACACAGAGAAACCCCATCTCTACTAAAAATACAAAATTAGCCAGGCGTAGTGGCGTATGCCTGTGATCCCAGCTACTCGGGAGGCGAAGAATCACTTGAACCCGGGAGGCGGAGGTTGTGGTGAGCCGAGATCGTGCCATTGCACTCCATCCTGGGCAACAAAAGCGAAACCCCATCTCAAAAAAAAAAAAAAGAAAGAAAGAAAAGAAAAGTGGAACAAGTCACCGACCCACTTCCACCAGCAAAGGCTGTGGTGCTTTCTACGGGTAGCTCGTCCATCCATGCTCAAATAATAGATGTGATGGTCTCAGGCTCATTGGTGTGCTCACCAGTGTCCCATTCTAGCCGTCTGGGCTCACTGCATGCATAAAGGAAGGGCCCTGACTTGCTTTGGGGACCCGGGGGAGAGCAGCTTTCTGTAACCACATAGCAGCGCCAGCCCTCATGCATCTTAGAGACAGGACAGGAGCTCCTAGGGACGATGATGCAACACACAGACATCCTCTTCCCAGCCCAAGACTAGAAAGCTTAACTGGCAAGAAACCTGCACGCAGAGGAATGGCTGGGGCCTGCCGCTCCCCTGACTGATTCCTGCAGCCCTGGGGACGGAGGGAAGAGCCCGCACCTCGGAACGGGCCAGGCCTCAGTGGCCCTGACTGGCAACGTGGCTTTGGGCAAGTTGTTTATATCTGTCTGTCTGTCTTTATCAGTAAACCAGAAATACTTCTCAAAGGGTTGTTCTGAAGATTTGAAGTAGTTGCTCAGAAAGTGACTGGCACATCTATGCCCTGGGAGCGAGGACGTGTGGCAGGCAGGAGGAGACGGACATCTCAGGACACACCCACCTGTTACCCATGTGCATAGACCGACGCCTCACTGCACACCCGCCTATTACCCATGTGCATAGACCGACGCCTCACTGCACACCCGCCTATTACCCATGTGCACAGACCATCTCACTGCACACCCGCCTGTTACCCATGTGCACAGACCATCTCACTACACACCCGCCTGTTACCCATGTGCACAGACCATCTCACTGCACACCCGCCTGTTACCCATGTGCACAGACCGACGTCTCTCTGCACCCCACCTGTTACCCATGTGCACAGACCATCTCACCGCACACCCGCCTGTTATTCACGTGCACAGACCGACGTCTCACTGCACACCCACCTGTTACCCATGCGCATAGACTGGCGTCTCACTGCACACCCGCCTGTTACCCATGTGCACAAGCAGTGTGCTCCTTCGCAGCCCAGCTAGACCATGCAATGGGATGTCAACGCAGCTAGACCGTGCAATGGGATGTTATTTGGCAGTCAGAAAGGACACAGCTCTAACTCACGCTGTGGTGTGGGGGAGCCTCAAAAGCACCATGCTAAGTGAGAGACGCAAGACACAAATGTTCCACATGTTACATGACTCAGTTCCTATGAAACCCACAGAGACAGAAGCAGCAGGGCGGGGGTGGGGACGAGAGCTAAAAAGTACCAAGCTTCCTCCTTGAGGTGTTGAAAATGTTCTAAAATTGACTTGGGATGGCTGCACAACCATGAATATACCCAAAACCATAGAACTGTAGACTTCAATTTTTATGTAGTTACTTTAAGAAAGGATCTCACTTTGTCATCTAGGCTAAAGTGCAGTGACATGATCACAGCTCACCGCAGCCTCGACCTCCTGGGCTCAAGCCATCCTCCCACCTCAGCCTCCTAGCTACCTGGGACCACAGGCATGCGCCACCACACCTGGCTAGTTTTTGTATTTTCTGTAGAGTCAGGGTCTTGTTATGTTGCTCAGGCTAGTCTCAAACTCCTGGCCTCAAGCAGTCCTCCCACCTCGGCCTCCCAAAGTGCTGGGATTACAGGCATGAGACGTTGTGCCCAACCAGGTTGTACACTTTAGATGGGAGAGTTGCATGGTATGTGAATTCTATCACAATAATGCTGTGGGTTTTATTGCTGCTGTTGTAGTTGTTTGAGATAGAGTCTCTCTCTGTCGCCCAGGCTGGAGTGCAGTGGCGCGATCTTGGCTCACTGCAACCTCTGCTTCCTGTGCTAAAGCAATTCTCCTGCCTCAGCCTACCGAGTAGCTGCGATTACAGGCACCTGCCACCATGCCCGGCTAATTTTTGTATTTTCAGTAGAGACGGGGTTTTGCCATGTTGGTCAAGCTGGTCTCGACTCCTGACCTCAGATGATCTGCCTGCCTTGGCCTCCCAAAGTGCTGGGATTAGAGGCATAAGCCACTGCGTCCAGCCTATAATGCTGTTTTTAAAAAATTAGCTGGATAATTACAAATGTGAACACGTGTGCCCAGAACTAATGCATGTGTCTGTCGGCGTGGACACTCCTGGGCTTCCTTCTGGTAGCTCAGCCGCCTCTCCTGACCCTGACCCTCACTGCTTGATGTTAGGAGACAAGCCCAAGGCATCTGGGTTGCCGGCTTCCACCTTGGAAGGCCAGGGCCCAGCAAAGTCAATGTGCTGTGGTTGAGCAGGGAGGCCGTCTGCCTTGCGGACACAGACTCTGTCACTTCCAGCTGGACTCTTGTCCCACAGCCAGGGGCAGGTGCAGAGTTGTGCTTGTTTGGGTTGGGACACTGATGAGGGCTGTGTTGCGGCCAGGCCCAACCGCCGTGAGCCGAGATCACATCACGGCACTCCAGCCTGGAAGACAGAGTGAGACTCTGCCTCAAAATAAATAAACAAATAAATAAATAATAAATAGAACTACCCTATGATTCAGCAATCACACACCTCTGGGTATATATCCAAAAGAGCTGGCTGGGCACAGTGGCTTATGCCTGTAATCCCAATATTTTGAGAGGCCAAGGCAGGAGGATCAATTGAGCCCAGGAGTTGGAGAACAGCCTGGGCAAGATGGCAAGACCCCCTGGCTACAAACAGTTAATTTTAAACCCTGGTGTGGTGTCATAGCTACTTGGGAAGCTGAGACAGGAGGATCGCTTGAGCCCAGGAATTAGCGCCTGCAGTGAGCTCTGATGGCATCACTGCACTCCCGTCTGGGTGACAAAGTAAGAGCCCGACTCTTTTTTTTTTTTAAAACCTTTTTTTTTGGCCGTAAGTGTATTCAATGCAAAATAATCCTCTCTAATTTTACGGAGGTGGCTGGCCACATCCACGAGCAAATCCGCCTCTAAACTGGAATTTGGTTGCTGAGCCAGCCCCAGCCTCGGCTTTCTTGTCGGCGCCAGGAGCACAGCGCTCCATCTGTAGGTATCTCTGTCGGCTTCCCCTCTTGTGAGTCTTGCAGGTCACTCACCCTCCAGACCTTTAGGCCAAGGCCTGCCAGTCTCTGGATGGCTGCAGCGCAGGGTGGCAGGCACGGTTTTTGGGGACAGATGGAGGTAATCATGGAGATACTGGGTACCCTCATTGGTAAGGTAGCAGTAGAAATGTCTTCAGATAGGCCGGGCTCATGCCTGTAATCCCAGCACTTTGGGAGGCCAAGGTGGGTGGATCACGAGGTCAGGAGATCGAGATCATCCTGGCTAACATGGTGAAACCCCATCTCTACTCAAAATATAAAAGATTAGCCAGTCGCAATGGCAAGCGGATGTAGACTCAGCTACTCGGGAGGCTGAGGCAGGAGAATGGTGTGAACCCAGGAGGCAGAGCTTGCAGTGAACCGAGATCACGCCACTGCACTCCAGCCTGGGTGACAGAGCGAGACTCTGTCTCAAAAGGAAAAAAAAAAGCGACAATGCAGGGACTCCTGACACATGCTCCAATGTGGATAAACCTGAAGGACATTATGCCCAGTGAAATAAGCCAGACACAGAAGACAGAAAACCACAGGATCACACCCACATCAGGTCCCCAGAACAGAGTTTGAGTTTGGGATGATGGAAAAGTTCTGGAGATGGATGGTGGAGATGGTGGCACCACAATGTGACTGCATTTAACGCCATTGAAATTTACACTTAAAAATGGTTAAGATGGGCCAGGGACGGTAGCTCATGCCTGTCATCCCAGCACTGTGGGAGGCTGAGGCAGGTGAATCACCTGAGGTCGGGAGTTCAAAAACCAGCCTGACCAACATGAAGAAACCCCGTCTCTACTAAAAATACGAAGTTAGCAAGTGTGGTGGTGGGCACCTGTAATCCCAGCCAGGATGGCGCCATTGCACTCCAGCCTGGGCAACAAGAGCAAAACTCCATCTCAAAAAAAAAAAAATTAAGATGGTAAATTTTATGTTATGTATCTTTTATCACAATAAAAAGTAATATTTTTTGCAGCCAAAGTATGCAAAAAGAAATGGCTTTATTTTTATCTGTATTATTTATTAATTATTATTATTATTATTTGAGACAGTCTTACTCTGTTGCCCAGGCTGGAGCGCAGTGTGGCGTGATCTCTGCTCACTGCAACATCCGCCTCCCGGGCTCAAGTGATTCTCCTGCCTCAGCCTCCTGAGTAGCTGGAATTACAGGCGCCCACCACCACACCCGGATAATTTTTGTATTTTTCGTAGAGACAGGGTTTCACCAGGTTGACCAGGCTGGTCTCGAACTCCTGACCTTAAGTAATTCACCCGCCTCAGCCTCCCAAAGTGCTGAGATTACACGTGCAAGCTACTGCGCCCGGCCAAGAAATGACTTCAAAAGGAAAAATGTAAGCACCAGCGTAAGCTGGTGTAAAGTAATGTAATTCCCACCAATGTAAGTTGGCAGGAATCCTTGCTCTGTATAGAAGGGTCATATTTTCTCATCACTGCTTCCAAGTGTGACAGCAGTGGCCTCGTGGCCTCATCTCAGGGAAAGCACTTCCTTCCAAGTGCCGTGAAGGCCTCACGTGCTGAGATAAGATGGAAGCTCCTAGTCTCGCCTGAGGACTGACACGGCCTGTGCTTCTTGGTCTCTCAGGACGCGCGGGCGGCCGTGGGCCCCTTCGACCCCTCCAGTCTGCTGCCCGCCTGCCGGGATTACTGGACCTATGCGGGCTCGCTCACCACCCCGCCGCTGACCGAGTCGGTCACCTGGATCATCCAGAAGGAGCCCGTTGAAGTGGCCCCAAGCCAGGTGAGCTGTGCCCGTAACTGGCATGATGGCACTTCATGGAAGGCATCTCTCTTGCTTGGCAGCGTCACTAAGATGCTGCATAAGAGCGTTGTAGAGTTATATTCTTTCATGCCTTTGGGGCGCTCTTACACAAGAAAAAATTTCCAATCGAAGCAGGAGCTTGTTGAGTTTGAACAGCGGTTCCGATGATCACAGCGAGCATGTTCTGAGCAGCGCCCTGATCTATCGCACACAAACACAAGGCATTCATGGGAGTTGTCCCAGGGTCT